GAGTGATGAAAGTAAAATACAGTTAATGCTGTTCCGTTTTAATGGAGATTTAGGTATGTAAGGACTTATTTGTATGAATTAACATGACAGTCACAAAAACTATAGGTAAAATCTTGAAAATAAAAATATTCTTTAATCCACAGATGGTGGAAAAACCAGTTAGAGGGAAATAAAATGAAAGATTCACCTAGATAATGGAATCCCTCAGCCCCTAAAATCAGTCCCAATGCAATCGCAACTCAGACACTGTGAAGAAAAACCTAAAGCTGGCTGATATACCGTCAGGCCAAAGCATAATGGAATTGGAGAGTTCACCCAGGCGTCTTCACCAACTGTCACTGATATTTTCAACCCTTAAGCATTGGGATGGTAGTAGATGAGATACCAACAATCTTCTCCGGCATATAAATGAAATGAGATGTGTGATTTAAATTTAAAGCCATTCTCTATAACCTATCTACACTTTTGCTCCGAGGTCTGTGGGGAAATCGGTCTTAATTATTGAGTGCCTAGACATGAGTAAGGTCAAAACTTCATTCTATTTACGACAAAAAAAGTACAACTGTAATATTTTGTCAGTCAAGTCGTCTGGTGAATTTATTCTGAATAAGTTGTCAGACAATTATAGAATATAGTTTAATATTCGTTGTTGCAAGAGATACGACAGGAATAAATCGCATTTATACCCTAAACAAGTTGTTCATTCATCACATGCACGTAGTAGTGTAAAAACATATGATTATTTATACTTATAAATATGAATTCATTAATGAAAAAAGATTATATGGATTCGAAAACTACCTGTCAAGCCAAAGAAGAGCGTCAGCCAGATACATTCTAGCAAGATATCGATAAGCGGGTGGTGTAACGATGAGCAGGGAAGAGCAAGAGCCATGGTCAGGGATGCTCACAATGCTGGCCGACTGCATAGTATTTGGCATGGCGCTTGCGATATTGGTGGCAGAGTTGACAGAAGTAGCGTAAGCAGGTCCGGATCCAGTGTCTGCTACGTCACACAGGTCTTTAACCTCATCAAGCCCTGAAGTCTCCGATTGACGGTAGCCTGGAGCCAAGCTATTCCCAAGTAGTGTTTGGGCGGCATGCAGCGCTTCAACTGGGTTGTGAAGACAGAGCGCAATGTACGCCGAGGCGAGCAGAACAGAGCTAACGAGTTGGAGTAAGCCGAGGCCGTGAAGTGGTTTCGGACTTGGAGGAGCAGGAACGAACTGAAAGCATCAAGGGTAATAGGGAAGAAAATAGTTAAATATAAGTGAGAAGAAAAGTGGATGTACAGTCAGGTAATGATTTATGTGGTCTTGGTAGTCCTGATTATAATTCTCTTGCGCCCGAAAGTGTTAGGGTTGAACAAATCAATTATTTTTAATTACATAATAGTAAACTGATCCAACCTTATGTATTAGGACGGATAAGACCTGAAAATTAAGCGATAAGCATTTTGAAAGCACCTGGAGCAAACAATATTAAGAGAATGTTTAAGAGAATGAGATCAAGAATATAATGGAATTATCATAGTTGATTCTCACTCTCTGTATTTGTAATTAAGTAATATATTTAAAATAAGGTTCAAAAGTAGACCTTAAACAAAAGAACACATTTGTTAGTACAAGTGCTTAGAAAGAACAAATGAAGAATTTTCCTTTGAACCGGAATTATGAGCCTAAAAGAGTGCAAGCGAAACTGAATAAGATTATCGTATAATAAGAAAAAATGAAATATGAAATGTTAAGATAATCTACTAACTCCAACCATGACGAATAACCAGAGCTTTATAAGATGTTTTACTAAACGACTGTGAATAAAATATAAAATAAATCATGATTACGTAACAAAAGCGAAAGCGAAATACCTTGGAAAGAGGATAGTAGCAGGCTAGAATATTTTAACTCGAAGGTATGAAGACCAAGATGGTGTGGCCTTTTGTGTGGTCGCAGTCTCCTTTCGTTGTATAGAGG